AGAATGTCAGTATTCAGCTCTGCCTTAATGTGCGGTGGGCACCTCCTCATCTGCACCCTCCTCCCAGCTCACTTTTATTTTTTAATCAGAGGTTTTCCTTGGACATATCAACACTTACCAGAAATTAGAGTTTCCTGCCTGTCGGCCCCTCACTTAATCTCTCCTGCATCCCTGCCTCCCACACTCCCTGGCTCAGTGTGATTAACCACTGTTCTGTGAAGAATTGTCCTCCCTCCCTCTGTGTAGAAGGGGATTCTTCTCTTGCCAGATCCTGGAATAGAAACATTCAAGAATGGCACGTGTGTAGCCAGCCCTCCACTCCTAGCTCAGAAAGAAAGCAACCCTGAGTGTCAAGGGGAATTTGCAGGTGTTTTCTGAGCTTGCTAAGAGAGGCTGTGGTACAGAAACTGCCCATAGAAGTGGGGCACTTCTTTATGGCTGCTCAGCAGAAAGAGTCCAGGATTTGTGTCCTAGTCCTGGCCCTCTGTGTGGCCTTAAGTTCAGTGCCTTCGTCCTTCTGAGCCTCAGTTCACTTATTTATAAAATGAGGACATGGTAATGTTTTCAAAGTTACATCCAATGTTACAGGTAAATATTTTTATTTAGAAATTAGAATAATACAGAAAAGAACAAAGAATAGTAATATGAATGCTCACATTCCTACTATCCAGAATTAACTATTATTAACAATTTATTATGTTGCCAGTTTTTTTTTTTTTTTTTTTAAGAAATAAGACATTATAGTTAAAGCTAAAGTCTGTTAAAGTACATTCCCCCCGCCCCTTCAGTTCTCCACCCTACCCCAGGCAGTCTCTATTTTGAGTTTGGTGTGTACCTTTCCCTTTATAATTCTCTGAACAATGAAATACTTTCTAATGTATTTTTTCATCCAGTATCCCATGTGAACCTCACCACACTCCCTATGACTAAGGCAGGGTGGGTTGTGGCCCTGTTTTACAGATGAGGACACTGAGGCTCAAGGACACGTAATTGCTGAATTCTGTGATTCTTTGTGTCTCTTAAATGTGCACCCACGGAACAAATGGTCCTCAGGATGTCCCAGGATGGAAGCCAAACAACTGAAAATGACAATTCTTGTGGTAACAGAAAAACCAAACTAGAACATCTTTTAACCATTGTGTGTGTGGAGGTTAAAATTTATATAACAGACGTTTGCCATTTTTACCCTTTTTAAGTGTACAATCCAAAACCAAAAACCAAACCCACGTCGTCGAGTTGATTCTGACTCATAGTGATCCTATAGGACAGAGTAGAACTGCCTCTTAGGGTTTCCAAGGCTATAAATCTTTACGGAAGCAGACTGTGCCACGTCTTTCTCCCACATTGCGGCTGGTGAATTCAAACCACCAATCGTTTGGTCAGCAGCCAAGCTCTTTAACCACTGCACCAGCAGGGCTCCTTGTGTACAAGCCAGTGACATTAACTGCATTCACCATGCCACCTTTTAACCATCTTTTGGAGGCTGGGACGAGCCCCTCCTGCTGCAATGAGGCCCTGAAGCAGAGAGATCACACCTGGGTGAGAAGGGGCAGGGGAGTGGTGAGGCCGGCCTCTGTTCACGCACAGGCTCTCTGTTGCCTGGGCAGCAGCAGTTCCTCCCACGTCTCTGCACCCTAGAGTGCATCATAAAGTGTGTTGTAGTCCCCACAGTCACCTGTAAGGATAGTGTATTGCTCCTGCTGCACAGAGCTCAGCCAAGGTGAGTGGAGTGCAGGGCTTCACCCCAGACCTCCAGCCCCGTGCTGGGCAGAATCACGCTGTCCTCTGGCTGGGACAGCCCACCCCATGCATCTTTGAGGGCAGGGTGAGCAGCTCTGCTCAGTGGCTGACCGCCAGCAAAGGCTTCTTTATCTTATCTCCAGGCTGCGTTTCTGGCTTGTGTAACAGGCCTGAGTGGGCAGAGGAGGGACTTTCTTCAGAAAATGATAAAGCACTCAGCCCTGTCTCTGGAGCAGAGCGTTGGCAGGAGGAGAAGATGTCCACAGGTGTGCCTGACCCTGGGGCACTGGGAGAGCCCTTGGTTGCCGGGCTCCCCTCAGGAAGGCAGGTCCTTAGAGCTGACCCTTCAGTATAGCAGCTGCTCACCACGTGGTGACTGAGCACGTGAAATGCAGCTGATCGCACACGTTGACCTTGTGATATTTGGGGTATATTGGATTAAATAAAATATGTTATAAAACTAATTTTACCCTTTTTTTTAAAATATGGCAACTATTGTTAGTTGCCGTCGAGTCGTTGCAACTCATGGCGACCTCGTGTGCAGAGTAGAACTGCTTCATGGGGTTTTCGAGGCTGTGACCTTTCAGAAGCAGATCTCCAGGCCTGTCTTTCAAGGTGCCTCTGGGTGGATTCAAACCAACTTTTCAGCTAGTGGTCAAGTGTTTAAACATTCATGCCATTATCTGTGTGGCTCACATATTTCTATTGGACAGCACTACCTTAGGGTGTGCACCTGTACTTAATGTAGGCCCTGTCACACAGGAGACAAAGAATACAGAGGTGTTTTCCAGCCAGGTTCTGAAAGCTCCTGAGCATCTCAGTGGCAGACCGTGGAAGAGTTGACTGGGGGTAAGAGGAAGAACTTAAGGCCTCTTCAGCTTGAACTAGGGTAGCCCTGCTTTCATCTGTGTTTATTTACTGGGGCTCTGTCTGAGGTTAATTCACCCCTGGGAGCAAGCTAGAAAGGAGGTTATTGTCCCTATTTTATTCCTGAGACTCAGAGAGGGAGGTGGAATTTACAGCCCAAACTTGGAACCCAGACTCCTTGCTCCCAGGGGCGTTGAACAGGATACGCCACACTGTTTCTCAAAGATGGAAGCAGAAAATGAATTGACTTTTCAAAAAACTTTTTTTATTTTGGGATAATTTTAGATTTACCGGAAAGTTGCAAAGATAGTACAGAGTTTCCAGATACTCTTTACCCAGCTTCCCCTAATGTTCACATCTTATATAACCACAGTGCATTTGTCAAAAGTAAGACATTTGCAGTGGCACAACACTTTTAACTAAACTCCAGCTTATTCAGGTTTCACCCGTTTTTCCACTGGTGTCCTTTTTCTGTTCCCAGATCCAACCCAGGATCCTACATTTTGTTTATTCTTTGTGTCTCCTTCCTCTCCTCTAATCTGTGTGAATTTTCTAATTTGTTCTCATTTCCATGGTCAGGTGTGTGCGTGTGCGCGCGTATGTGCGCGCTCGTGCACACATGCACGCACGCACTTAATGCAGGGCTTCGAACCGGTTCATTCCAGTTTGAACCCTTGCTGAAAACTTGCATTTCTAACAAGTTCTCTGATGAGAATTTGCATTTCTACCCCCAGATATACTGAATCAGAATCTACATTTTGATACGATTCACAGGTGATTCTTACATACAACTTCCTGGGAACTTGTTAGAAATGCAAATTCTCAGCAGGGGTTCAGACCGAACAAACCCGGTTTGAAGCCCTGGTCTAATGCCCTTTGAATAATATCTTGGTGTTCCAAATCTGCTATCCATTAAATGAAATCCATTTCTAGCTGTGTCTGAGATGTGTTAGCACAGTCTGTGTATGTACTCATATCCACTTTGTTCTCTTCACTTTGTCTCTGAAACGCTATTTTCTCAGAAGAAATTTATCAATGAGGGGACCACAGATGCATTTTCTCGGGGACTCAGATTTCTGTCCTTACCTGGGGGGTGAGGCGTATGTCGGCAGCCTCGTGTGCTGGTGCTGTCTGCGATCAAAGGCGTCCTTGGGTTATTTGAGGAGATGCTGGGCTGCCTGCCTGCCTCTGGGAGAAGCTCTTGGCATCAAGCCGGGAGACAGAGATGTCTATTTTGGTGTGTTTCACACCATTGCTTTTGAACACCGGGGAGTTTTTACAGGCTTCCTTCTGAATACCCTAGAAAATTAATGTTTCAGTGAGCCCAAGCGAAGGGTGGAGGCAGGAAGCAAAGAGTCCCTGAGGCTCGCTCTGTGCCAGACGCTGTCCCTGTGCAACCCTGTGAGCTGGCGTGGCAGGTCTGCATATCTGTGCCCTCTTCCTGCATCTGTCCTTCATAGGCTGTAAGCTCACTGAGGGCAGGACTTCCTCTCCTCTCGATAAGTGTGAATCATCCTCCAGTGGCTTTCTACTGCCCCCAGGAGAAAACCTCAACTCCTTCCCGGGGCCTCCCCGGGGGAGCCTTGCTGACCTCCCTGTCTCGCTGCCCACCCCAGGCTCTGATTCCCCTGCATTCCTGCTCTTGGAGCATGCCAGGCAGGCTGCCACCTCAGGCCCTTAGTCAGCTGGTCAGTCTGTGTGGCGTTCAGGTCCCCACTTGAATGCTCCCCTTCAGAGAGCCTTCCCCTAGGACCCTGTCTGCAGATGTTCACTGTGTTGGTGTCTGAGGACTGCTGTCAACAAAAGACCACAAATGGGGTGGCTTATGAGAACAGAAATTTATTCTCTCGCAGTTCTGGAGGCTGGGAGTGTGAGGTCAAGGTATCATCCTTCTGGAGACAGTGACAGTCATTCTAATCTCTCCCGCCATACATCTGTGTCTGTGTCTTCTCTCCTCTCTTATAAGGATACTACTTAGACAGGCTTAGGGTTCACCCTATTCCAGTTTGGAGTCCCTGGGTAGTGCAAATGGTTAATGTGCTCAGCTGTTATCCAAAAGGTTGAAGGTTTGAGTACAGCCAGAGGTACCTCAGAAGAAATGCCTGGTGATCTACTTCTGAAAAATCAGCCATTGAAAACACTGTGGAGCACAGTTGGGGTTGCCATGAGTTGGAATTGATGCAGGGATGACTGTTTTACCCCAGTATGACCTTGTGTTAACTGATAACACCTTCAAAGACCCTATTTTCAAACAAGATCACCCTCACAGGTACAGGGATTAGGACTTCAGCATATCTTTGTTGGGGACACGACTCAGTCCATACCTCTCAGCTAGTGCGTTCACTGTGGTGTCCGCCTCACTCATCCACCCACTCCCATCTCCCATCATCCAGGTGCTGTGCTTACCCCGTGTTCCAGATGAGAACCGAGGTACCCACGCTGTGTACCTTCCCCGGTTACTTTCACTTCATTTTTTCTTTCCACAGCCTGTCTCATCATCTGAAATAATCTTACAGACTGTGCTCATTAACTTGCTAATGTGTTTATCTGCCTACTCCCCGTCTTCACAAAAATGTCAGCTCCCTGTGTGCTGGGACTCCACTTCAGGGTTGTTGTTACCACGACATTCGGCGACCACCGAGTGCTGTGGGGCCTGTTTGGGGGTGGAGCCAGTGTCTGAGTCTGCTGTGTGCTGGCCCGGATGAAGGTCCACACAGATTCCCTCTAGTGCCATGTTATCACCTTGCAGTACACTACAGGCAGTTTCCTTGGCCCACGTGGGTTTGTTTCCGTAAAATAATCTTGTCAAGGGCCGTACTGTCTCTCTGTTGAACATTTAGGTTATTTCCAGGTGTTCAGCCTCCTGTTTTATTTGCCCAGTGGAGCCTGTATGCAGAGCTCCCAAGCCCTCAGGTTGTTGTGGTCTTATTGGAGGGACCTCGGTGGAGTTTCAGCTGGTGTGAGGCTGCCCGCCTCTGTTCTGTGCTTGAGTGCGGGGCAGAGCCCTGGATCAGGAACCATAGCTGTGGTACCTGGTCCAGTGCTGCTGCTGACTTGTGATGTAGCCCTGGGGAGTAAACTCTTGCCTGTGCCCTCTTGCTACAGGTCGTCGACCCGACCGGAGGTGGCCAGCATAGAGCCGCTGGGCCTGGACGAGCAGCAGTGCTCCCAGAAGGCCGTGGTGCAGGCCCGCCTGTCACAACCCACCCGCCTGACCAGCATCATCTTTGCAGAGGACATCAGTAAGGGCTTCGGGGGCTGGCATGACCCTCAGGCACAGAGGCACTGTCAGGGGGGTGAGAGAAGGGAAACACCCTATGCAGCCCTCCACATGGCCATACTTTGACCTGGTTGGAGGATGCTGGTGCTACCCCCCACCCCCCAGCCAAGATGGGGGCACTGAGTAAGCAGTACCCCGTCCTGGTCTCTGGTGACTGGCACTGTGTACTGTGTTCCCTCTCGCGGATGCCAGCTTTCTTTTCTAAATTATTATATGTTTCCCAAATAACTCTTAATGGGTATCAAATTAAAATTTACAACATTTGTTATGATCCAAGAAATCATTCCTTTTATTTTTCCGTGTTTAATATATTATGATTGCTAAATACTTAGAAACAGTTGACATAAGTTTCTGTCATACTTTTCCCCCACCTAACACGGTATGGTTTTCCATTTTATTACAAACTTATTTTAATAGCTGAAAAATATTCTTAAAAGGAGATTTTCCTGTGAGCGTTCTTGTTATATTGTACATTTCAATTGTTTTCCGATGTTTGTTTCAGTGTTACATATAAAAATAAATATTTTTATACAGGGAACTCTTTTGGATTCTTTCAGGTTATTTTCTTAGGATAGAGTCCTTAGGATAGAGTCCCGGATTGCCTGGGTCACAGCATATGAGCATGTTTTTGGCTTTTGCTAAATGGGCTGTACTGCCTTCCAACAAAATACCCATTTACCACTCTAACAGTGCGCAAGTATTTTTATATGGTACCTGGAGAATGATCAGGGTGATTTTGCATCTGCGTACTGTTGTCCTTACAGAACACTTGAGAATTCCCCGCGTAATGCCATTTATATATCTTACTTATGGAGCAATGAAAAACTATGCACGTGTACACGCACACATACACACATGTCCCTTTTCTTCAATAGTAAAGATGATAGTCTTATGGAAAAACACCAGCGTAATTCCTAGTTTCCGTATAGGGATGGGGGTTCAAAGCAGTCCTGTCTTCTTTTGGATACTGTAGCCCTTGGCATTTAACCAAATGATTCCACCCTGAACAAAACAAAATTTTACTGAAGGAGTTCTTTGTGCATAGTTTTAATTACTAGCACTCAAGTTGGGAAAGCATAGAGTATGCAATGAAAAAGTCTCAGAAAGCCCTGACTTCCTAAGAGGGTGTGTGCACTAGTCAGCGGCTTGGCTTTTGAGGGTTATTTTGTGCTTTGCTTAAGCCCTGTTCTGTTGTTGATCTGTTGTTGGCTTAGTCTTTTCCTGCCTAAGAGGCCTTGGTCCCGGTGTGGCCCTGGAGATGGGTGGTCCAGGGTGCTGTCCTCGGTGCTGACCCCTCTTTCCTGTCCTCCCAGCCACCGGGCAGGTCCTGCGCTGCGATGCCATAGTCGACCTTATCCATGGCATTCAGATTGTGTCCACCACCCGGGAGCTCTACCTCGAAGACTCCCCACTGGAGCTGAAGATCCAGGCTATGGACTCGGAAGGTGAGGCCACCCCCACTGCCGCTCATTCTCTGTGGCCACTGCCAGGCCTCAGCCATCTGCACAACCAGGGCCTCCCCCTACCTCTCCTCTCACATCCAGCCCTGCTGCTCTCAGAGGCTCAGTGCCCATCACACAGCCGTGCCGCCTCCTTACACGCACCCCTCCGTTCCTCATCGTTCTTGTCTGTGTCCCAGTGTGACTCCTCCTAGACCACCTCACTCCCCCAGGGATCCCAGGCAGGCCCGGGTACTTAGCTTCCCCTGTTGCAAGGGCTCAGTCCTCTGGCACACAGGGCATCACCGACACAAGGATATCATTCCTATTGGGGACCTGTGTTGGGATTTGGCTGCCCAGCCTCCACCCCTCTTTCAGCAGTAGCACCCAGCGTTTCTGTGGGTACCCACATCTTCCTCACTCTCAGTCCATGAAATTCCAGAGCCTCACTCCTCTGGACATGGGGAGGCCCTGACTTGGGCCTGACCAGTTGGAACCTTGTGTTCCTCTAGCCACAGGAAGGCAGAGTTGGTGCTAGAGGAGAGGTTTAGAGGTAGATGCCACTTCTGAGGTGGAACCGTGCCTTCTGTGGCATTGAAACCACAGCCAGTCCTCATGCTCAGTGGCCTCTGCAGCAGGACCTGTTTGCTCAGTGCTTTCCGTAGGTCCTGGGGGTGGACTCTGCCTGTGTGTGTGCAGTAGTGACCCTTGGTGGTAGAACAAGTCTTGGGAACCAGCATGCTGGGCTGCCATTGGGCAGCGATAGGAAGCTGGACAGGGATCCCTGGGAAATCATACTGTGAACACTGCAGACGCTCTCCTCCTAGGCTTTGAGGCTGGTTTGGCTTCCTTGTTCCAACTTCACAGCAGCATGGCCCGACACTTCTGTGCTGCTGGCTCAGGGCACAGCTTTTCACACCTTCACTTCCCTAGCAGTGACACTTGGCTTGTCTGGGGTGGATTTTTCTGTCCTGGTGGTAGGCAAACTGTCTTGGCTGTAGTCTGACCTCTTGATGAAGGAGGCAAGGGAGACTTTGTAGGTTAAACATTTTGTTGAAGAAAGTAAGTCTGTCAGATGATGGGTCTTCCCAAACTTCAAATCCAAGTCAAGCCGCACCTTGTCTTTGAAACATTCCCTGGCTACTCTAGCTCCCACATCTTTATTTTCTAGATCAGGGTTTCTTAGCCAAGGCACTGTTGACGTTTTGGGATAGATAGTTCTTTGTGAGGAGGAGAGGCCTGTCCTGACCACTGTAGGATGTTTAGCAACATTCCTGGCCCTACCCACTAGATGCCAGTAGCACCTCCCAAGTCCTGACAATCAAAAGTGTCTCCAGACATTGCCAGATGTCCCCTGAGGGGACTATTCTAGATCATCTACCACGCCCTCCATTCCTTCATTTATTCATTCATCAGATAAGCTCCTTAACTTCCTAAAACTGTTTTCTGATCTGTGAAACTGAGATAGTGATACTTACCTGGGGGTTGTAAGGATTTGGTGAGAAGTGTAGAAAGTGCTTAGTGCTGTGCTTGGCACATAGTAAACAATGGAGTATTACTTAGCCGTAAGGAGAAATGAAGTCCCAGTACACGCCACAGCATGGATGAGCCTTGAAAACAATATGCTGAGTGACATAAGTGAGTTGCAAAAGGACAAATACCATATGATCTCACTTACGTGAAATAAGAAAATACATAGAAACAGAAGAATATTAATGGTTATCAGGGATGGAAGGCGGGAAGAAAGAGGGAGTTTTTGTCTGGATAGCATTGAGTTTATGTTAATAGTGGTGGAATATTTTGTAAAAGGAAAGCCAGATGGTGGTACAACATGAACACGTAATCAATGTCATTGAATTGGAAATGTGAAAGTTGTTGTACTGGTGAATGTTTTGGTGTGTATATTTTCTCCACAATTAAAAAAGTGACTTAAGATGGGCAACAGAACAGAGTGGTCAGGAGTAGGGGCTGGTATACTACGGGCCCTGGACCAAACCTGGCCTGCTGCCTGTTTTTATAAATGAAGTTTTATTAGAATACAGCCTCACCCATTCATTTACATATAGTCTATGGCTGCAAAGCCTAAAACGTTCACTATCTGGCCCTTCACGGAAAACATTTGCCAGCTCCTGGTCAGGAGGATGAACTTTGGAAGCAGGCTGGAGTTCACATGCTGGCTCTGCTACTTTTCTCTTTTTTGTTGGTGGACATACTTTGCTCTCTGTGCCTTCTTCCCTGAAAGTGACATGCGTGAGAACAAGTAAAGTGCTGAGACGGATGCCTGGTGCCTATATGAACTCAAGTTTTGTCCTTTCGTTCCCAAGAGCACCTAATAATGCTGAAGTCCTGCAGACGCACTCCCACCCTCTCACTGCACAAACCACCTCCTCCAGTCCCCTTTGGGTCTGACTCATTTCACTCAGCATAATGTTTTCAAGGTTCATCCCTGTTGTGGCACATTTCTCTCTATGGCTCTGTAATACTCCACTGTATGCATGTACCATGTTTTGCTTATCCATTCATCTGTTGATGGCTATTTTGTTCATTTCCACCCTTGGCTGTGTGAAAAGTGCTGCAGTGAACATCGGTGTACAGGTTTCTGTTTCTGTTCCTGCCTTCATGTAAGTCACTTTTTAAAAAAGATTTATTTATTTTTGAGATTCACATACCATAACATTCACCTGTTTAAAGTGTACAGTTCAGTGGTTTTAAGTATATTCACAAAATTGTGCAACCATCACCATGATCTGATTTTAGGACATTTTCATCAGCTCCCCCGCCCAAGGAAAAAACCCTGCACCCATTAGCAGTCACTTCCCATCCCCCTACTCCCCTGGGCAACCACTAATCTACCTTCTGTCTCTATAGATTTGCCTATTCTGGACATTTCATGTAAATGGAAATCATACAATATGTGGTCCTTTGGCCCCGGGTTCTATCCAGAGCATCTTTTTCTCCCTGGTCTCTTCTTGCAGAAGCCCTGGCTCCTCTGAGCCTCTTGGGTATTGCCTCCTCCAGGGATGCCCTTAGACTAACCAAGTGGATTTTGTTCCTTCCTTCTTGGATGTCCCTCAGTTCTTCACTGGCCCTTCCCCTAGGGTTCGGGGCATTTTATACTCTGTATTGCAAAGTTCAGCACTTGAAGGGCAGAATTGGCATCTTTTCATTCTCCTGGCCTCTTCTGTGTCTGACACTGGACTTTGGGCCCAGCATGCACCCAGCAAATGCTTGTCAAGTTAAATTGCTTAATTTTTTTCTTGCTGCTTTCTTGGGTCCAGGCAAGGGGAGGTATATCCTCTGAAGATGGTACCACTTGGTTTTCTTGATTAGTAGTCCTGGTTAGTATCAGCACTCAGCTGCAAGGCTCCAGGGTCAAGGGCTTTGTCTGTTGCACAGAGCAGATGCTGATAACCACTTTGTAAATGGAAGAAGCAAACCTTTATGCAGAGTGCTTTTGAAGACATCTTGCAGCCTCCATACCCCAGACCAGCAAGTTCAGCTATGTCAGTCTTAGAGACGGTCTTACACTGAGTGGTGCCTTTTCCTCGTCCACCCACCTCTGGAGGTGGCACTGGTGTCACAATGCATGAGTCACACTGTGACCTGTGGTTTTACTTTGTCACCCAGAGTCAGTCCCCAGGACCAGCCTGTCACAGGGCCTTGTGCTCAGAAGGGCTTACAGTTGGTTTATTGCTCTGCTGCCACCGTATTGGAATTTGTAATAATTTTATTTGAACTTGTTTGTACGTGAAGTCTGATGGGACACTGGAGCACGTGCTGGGGATGTGGAGCCTTGGCTTGATGCAGTCCCACCCTACTTCTCTGGGATGGATTACTTTCCTAGGGTGCCGTAACAAAGTACCACCATCAAGGTGGCTCAAAACAGCAGAGGTTTACTCACTCACAGTTCTGAAGGCCGGAAGTCTGAAATCAGTGTAGGCAGGGCCATGCTCTCCCTGAAGGCTCTAGGGGAGGATCCTTCCTTGCCTCTCTTGGAGCTTTGGGTGACGGCCAGCAATCCTTGGCATTCTTTGGCTTGTAGCTGCATCAGTCTAATCCCTGCCTCCATCATCATGTGGCATTCTGTTCTCTGTGTCTGTGTCTTTACATGCCCTTCTTACAAGGACACTGGTCTTTGGATTTAGGGCTCACCCTAATCCAGTATGACCTTATGACCTCAACCTAACTAAATGATACCTGCAAAAACCCTGCTTCCAAACAAGGTCACATCCTGAGGTTCTGGGTGGACATGGATTAGGGGGTTGGGGGACACTATTCAACCTAGTACAGACAGATTCTTGGCCACTTACTCTCTGCTACCAGATGCCCCAGGTCCTGCCCAGCCTCCCCCTCCGACCCCTGCCCCATGACCACTGCCACCGTCCACCTCTGGGCACGTGCACCTCAGGGTGTCTCGGATGGGGCGTGGTAGTGGCCATCCCTGCCCCAGGTTGGCGGCACCAGGGCATGTCTGGTGAGCACCCAACCAGAGGCTGTGTCTCAGCAAGGGTGGGCCTCTCAGCCATTCCTGATCCAGGAAGGGCGGCACAGGGGTTAATAGTCCTTGGGGGTTGTCCGTCTGCTGTGGGTAGGGAAGGGTAGATGCCTGGCTCAGCTTTCCCAGAGCCCACGCCAGTGCATCGGTCCAGTGGCTTGTGGGAGGGGAACTCAGTAGCTGGCAGCCTGCAGGCCCAAGCATGTTACAGGGCAAGGTTCCCAGGCATCTCTGAGGGTCTGCACCCATCTGTGAGTCTCCTCACACTCAAGGGAGTGCCCCCTGGGCTGGCTCTGTGCCTTCTCTTCCTTCTTCCAGCCTTCCTGAGTCTGGCTTTGAACAAAGGACCCACCTTTTCATTTGCGCTGGGCCCTGCAAATTATGTAGCCAGTTCAAACGCAAGTCCACCATGTTCAAAGGCAAAAGAACAGACGAATGCGTGAGGATGGGAAGTACAGCAGAAAGAACACAGCTAAATCCTGGCTCCGCCCTCAGGTCACATGGCCGTGAGCAAGTGGCTTCATCCCCTTAAACCTCAGTTTCCCCTTCCTAAAGTGGAGATCAGACACCTACTTTGCAGGGGGCTGGTGCTGAGCATGGCATTTTGCAGGGGATAGAAGCTCCCATTTCTGGGGATTCCAATGTATTTCTCCCCTCTCGTCTGCTCTACAGGGAACACGTTCAGCACCCTGGCCGGGCTGGTCTTTGACTGGACGATTGTGAAGGACACAGAAGCAGACGGATTCTCAGATTCACACAACGCCCTGCGGTAAGCAGTGGCCTTTGCTTGGCCTGGCTGCCTTTCAAAGGAAGGGGGATATCACTTGGCACCACATGGGCCCAGGGGCTCTCATGGCCTATGGGGAACTCAGCAGGTTCCCAGGATGCCAGCCGAAGTCCCTGTGCCTGTTTAGGAAGGAGGGTCTCATCTCACCCAGTGCTGTGAGGACTTTGCTGCCCTGCGGCCCCCTGGGTGTGCTTTCTGAGAAATCATGGAGGGGTCTGGGTGTCCAGCTGAAGAAGAGGGAACTTGGCACTGCAGGACCATCCCACGTAGCTGAGGGGCTGCCATGGGATGCAGACGAGGGAAGTGTGTGTGGTCCCCTTCCGTGGGGTAAGTTATAGGGAGACACATTCCCCTGAGAGGACGCTGGAACAGCAGCAGTCATTCACAGGTGGAGTGAGCTGACCTCCCCAGAACCAGGGAAGGCAAACGGACTCATTAGGAGATGGATGATTCAAGTTATCTTTAAAAATATATATATAATACTCTTTTGTTGTTGTTGTAAAAATACAGATAACATGACATATGCCACTTCAGCATTTTTCAATGTACGATAAAACCAGTTACGTCAGTCATGTTGTACAAACATCACCAGTATCTGTTGCCAAATTTTCCATCCCCATAAACAAAACTCTTTATTGTGAATTCTATACACCTTCCTATTTCTTCCAAAATCTGCTACCAGGTTTTTTAATAATTCTGTCATGAATAATAATGCCACAAAATCACGCTAAAAATAAATGGTTGATTACTTTCCAGTTCAGCAAAAACGCAGCTCGTGTCAGTGAGGAACGAGTGAGGTTCTGACACGAATGTGGGTTGATGTTTCTCTGTTAATGTTAATGGTAAGACGTGTCTGTTGGGACTTCATTTCTCTTTTGTTTTTTAATTTTATTGTGGTGAAATATATATAACAAAAGCTTTGCCATCTTAGCTGTTTTCGTAGAGTAAAATTCAGTGACATTAATTGCGTTCACCATGTTGTGCTACCATCACTGCTGTCTGTTTCCAAAAGTTTCTCAGCACCCCAAACAGAAACTCAGTACCCCTTTAGCAATAACTCTGCATTCTGCCTTCCCCACAGCCTCTGTAATCTCTAATCTGTTTTCTGGCTCTATGCATTTGCCTATTCTAAATATTTCATACAAGTGGGGTCACGTAATATTTGTCTTTTTGATGCTTTCAGTATCTTGATTCATTGAATCCTCCCAACAACCTGGTGGGCTGTGGATACCACTGTCTCTATTTTTCAGACAGAGAAGCTGAGACTCAGAAAGGTTAAGCCACTTGTCTGAGGTTGATACATGGCAGAGCCAGGATTTAAATTCAGTTCTGTGTAAATCTGTGTTATCCAGTATGGTAGATACTAACCCCGTGTGGCTATTTAAATTAATAAAATTAAAGATTCAGTTCCTGAGATGCACTAGCTACATGTCAAGTGCCACGTGGTTAGTGGCTGTGTATTGACAGTGCATATATAGAGCATTTACGTGAATGCAGGAAGTTCTTTTGGACTGCGCAGGTATGGGGCTGCTATCTGAGCTCTTACCCTTTACTATATTGCATTGCCTCTTGCTTTGTTAAATAACTTTTTTTAAAGAGTATAATCCCTTTTTGGGGGAGAGAAGACGTAACTTTTTTATTTTGCAACTTGCCTACAGAAAAGTTGCAATACAGTTCAAAAAATGGTTTCTCTAAACCGCTTGAGAGCAAGCTGCCAACATGGTGCTCCCCTCGTCCCCCGGTTATTTTCGTGTGTATTTACTACCATCAGTGGGCGCCGCAGTGGGTCAGTGGTAGAACTCTCACCTTCCATGCGGGAAACCTGGGTTTGATTCCTGGCCCGTGCACCTCATGCACAGCCACTACCTGTCTGTCAGTGGAGGTTTGCGTGTTGCTATGATACTGAACTGAGATGGATGAGGAAGAAAGCCGTGGCCATCTACTTCTGAAAATCAGCCAGTAAGAACCCTATGGATCACAACGGTGCAATCCACACTGATCACAGGGATGGTGCAGGACTGGGCAATGTTTCATTCCCTTGTGTCGGGTCACCCTGAGTGGAGGCCTCCCCGATGGCAGCCAACCATGACAATGTAAAGCCAGGAACATGGACTTTAGGGTCAAACAAACCTGGACTTCAGTCTTGTCCTTGTTGCTTCCTGCCTGTGGCCTTAGTTAAGGGACTCACCCCATCTGAGCTTCAGTTTCCGCCTCTAACTGGAGGTGATTGTGCCCACCTCCAATGGCAACTATAGCAGAGCGATTCGTGTGCAGAGCCGTGTTCTGGGCCTGGCATACACTAGCTTTTCAGAGACTGCTGTTCCCTGGCCCGTTCTGTGCAAGCCAGCCCATTTCCTGCCATGGCAGGTCCTCTGCACTGCTAGGCAGCCCGGTACATGAGCCGAATGTTAATCAGAATCCAAGACGCTAAGGCAAGTTAGAACCAGATTGTTGTGGATTTTTATTAAATTCAGCACGCGACACCTAGTAAAACTGGGCAAGGAAATAAATCACAGCGCAGCCCAGTGCCAGGCAGATGTTGGGGAGAATGCAGGTGTGTCCAGCAGATTGTCCTTGTTCAAGGAGAACAGTGGGCTTGTTTGGAAATCACAGGCTGCAAGTGAAAGACCGTGTCCAAAGGATCCCTTGAGCCAGCCCTGCTTTCCAGCCCATCCTCAGGGGAGGGTCGACACATTGCTTCTCCCCACAACCCAACCCTCTGGAGAATAAGATGTGATGTGACTCCCTGTCACTTCCAGAGCAGGAGCTAGGCCACAGGAGACACTGATGGGCCTGCGTTGGCTGATCTGTGGTCTTGGCCTGCTTGTTAATTTCCACAGGCCTCACTTTTCCCATCTGTGAAATAGAGGCATTTGAATTACAGGGTGGTCCTCGAATTTCAGCATGTGTCAGAATCATCTGATAAAATGCAGAGTCCCAGGCTTCATGCAGACAAAGGCCGGGCCAGAGGCTTACATCTTTAGCGAGGACATGTGGCAGTTCTGATGCAGGAAGTTTCAGGGAGACATTTCTAAGCCACACTGGTGAAGGCAACCACCCTTACTTCCGTGTCTGGCATATGGTAGGAGGTTTGCATAGGCAAGTGAGTATAAGATTTTTTGGCCTCAAATGTCAGGTGTGCTGAGTGATCTTTGAGTGTTCCTTTTCCAGGATCCTCACTTTCTTGGAGTCAACATACATTCCTCCTTCCTACATCTCAGAGATGGAGAAGGTGGCCAAGCAGGGGGACACCATCTTGGTGTCCGGTATGAAGACTGGGAGTTCCAAACTGAAGGCACGCATTCAGGAGGGGGTCTACAAGGTAGGTCGGGCGCAGGGCGGCACGTCCAGGAGGGGGTCTACAAGGTAGGCCCGGCGCAGGGCGGCACGTCCAGGAGGGGGTCTACGAGGTAGGCCCGGCGCAGGGCGGCACGTCCAGGAGGGG